ACAGAGTCAGGAGTGGAGCCTGGGTCTGTCTGGCTCCAAGAGCTCTGTGTGTGCACATGTGTACATTGTGGGGACGTGCATGAATGCACATAGTGTACATGTGTGCATATTTACACAGATGCACGTGTGTGTTGGAGCCCTCAGGGCAAAGCTAAAGGGCCCTGTTAGATTGCTGAGTTGGACTTTTGGCAACTGCCTCCTAACTAATCTCTGGCCTCCACTCTTATGCTGATCCGGAATATTCTCCAAGCAGCAGTCTGGGTGGTCCTGATAAAATATAGGTCATGGCATGGCCTCCTCTCCTCAAAGGTCTCCCACGCCCCCCATGCCCCTTAGAGAAAAATCCGAGTCCTGAAGCGGCCTCCCAGAACCCCGGTGTCTCCTCTCATCTCTGCTCATGCCCTCACCCTTCCCCGCTGTTCGCCAGCCACACAGGCCCTTGCAGCTCCGTCAGCGGCCCCAGGCCTTTGCACTGGCTGTTCCCGCTGCCTGGGGTTTCCTTCCTCAGACATCGCATGAGGCTTCCTCCCTCGCCTCCTGCAATCTTTGCTCAAAAGTCCTTTCTAAACACAACCTTCCATGATCTCCCTGTTTAAAACTGCAGCCCCTCTCATCTCTCTTTTTCTGGGCTCTTCTGATGAGCACCCAGCACTTTCTAGTCACTACAGAGTTTATGGATTAATTTTATTACCCGCTTCCCTTGAGGGGAGGTTGGCTCCATGGGGCACAGGGTTTGGTCTGACTGTTCACTGCTGCCTCCTCAGTGGTTACATGGTTACATGGTAGATGTTTCATGTTTGTTGAATAATGTTCAAATGATGAGAGAAGGAGGGCCTTTCTTCCCACCCCCTGGGGGCTCGTGGGGCTGGGGGGGCAGAGGGTGGTGGGGCTTTGTAGTCACTTTTTCTCAGGGACGGAAGCCACCAAAGCAAGGCAGAGGGTACAGATCCCCAGGTTTCTGGCAGGGAGTCTTCCCACCCAGGTGGATTGGCAGGAAATCCCAGCATCCATAAAGTGCCAGAGATAACCAGGTTCAAGAGAAGACACTGCGATAAGGCGAGCTCCAAGCAGTTCCTGTGAATTTGCTGGGAAGGGGCCCTGCCAGGGCAGCGGGAACTGGCAAGGAGCCTACCTGGGTGACTGGAGAAATAAAATGTGGTCTAGCCATGCAGTGGAGAATTAGTCAGCCTCACAAAGGAATGAGATTCTGATACAGGCTACAACATGGATGAACCTTGCAAACTTTATGTGAAGTGAAAAATGAGCCAGTCACCAAAGGTCATATATTCCATGAGTCTACCTATGGGACACTCAATAGGCAGATCCACACATACAGAAAGATGGTGCTACATGGGACATGACGGCCAGATGAGCCTGGGATTTCCTGTTAGGGGGATAAAACTATTGGGAAACTAGATAGAGGTTGTGGTTGCACAACATTATGAGTGAACCTAAAGCTATTGGATTGTTCACTTTAAAATGGTTAATTTCATGTTATGTGAATTTTACCTCAATTAATAATAATAATAAATAATAACAAGCTGAAGGAAGAGCCACCTCATCCGATGCCCATCCTGCGGCAGGTACACTGTTCCTCTCAAACGGCCACAGCCCCACCGCCCATCTGGGGGTCCTGAGATGACTTTAAGGGGCACAAGGACACAGACAGAAATCGCTGAGTCCCAGAGTGAGCTGCTGCTTCTCTCTGCTCAGCCCCTCTGATCCCAGCAGAGAGAAAGCCTTGGTTGGGTGCTAACAGATCTCTAACACTGTCTGGCTTCACTTTCAACAGGGAGAGGGCGGGCCTTAGGCCCAGAGCCTGGCTAAAATTTAATGACATGGATTTGCTTTTATTGTATTTACTTTTACGGTATCTTTAATTTCTAGCAAATAGAGTGTGTTGAACGGTGACCCCCCTTTAACAAGATAGGTCCACGTCCTAACCCTCAGTACCTGGGCATGTGATCTTACCTGGAAATAGGGCCACTGCAGATGTGATGAACTTAAGGATCTTGAGACGAGACATACTGATTCAGAGTGGGTCCTAAATACAGTGACTGATGTCCTTGTAAGAGAAAGGAGATTTGACACAGAGGTACTGAGGGAAGAAGGCCATGGAAGACAGGCAGAGATAGGAGTGAGGCAGCCACAAGCCAAGGAAAGCCAAAGACTGCCAGCAACACCAGACGCCAAGAGAGGCAGGGAACAGTCTCCCTAGGAGTCCCGGGGGAATCAGGAACCAACCCATCTGACCCTTTGATCTCAGCCCTCTGGTTCCCAGACCTGTGAGAGGCTACATTTCTGCTGTTTTAAGCCTCCCAGCTTGTGGGTGTTTTTTATGGCAGCCCTGGGAAACAAACATAGCAAGTGCTACTGGTTTTCAGTTTCCAGAGGTAAAGTCTCCTTTTTAAATAGTTGATCCTTGAGTAACATTGGATTTTAAAAAATAACTACCATAAATGTATAGGGTGGGGCAAAAGTAGGTTTACAGTTATTTGTATGAAAAATAATACAATAATAAATAAATGATAATACAAGAACAGGCTGTTTCACACACTCACAACTATAAACCTACTTTTGCCCCATCCTGTATTTTCTCTTCCTTATGATTTTCTTAATAACATTTTCCTCTAGTTTATCGTAAGAATATGGTATATAATATATACACATATAAAATAGGCGTTAATCAACTGTTTATGTTATTGGCAAGGCTTCCAGTCAACAATAGGCTATTAGTAAAGTTTTTGGGGAGTCAAAAAAATACTCAGATTTTTGACTTGCACAGGCAATTGGTGCCCCTAACCCCCATGTTGTTTAAGGGTCAACAGTACATTGAATTTATAAGGTAGGTCAAGAATCGAGGAAGCGACAGACCAGGTGTTGAGAGCATGTGTGTTCAGGGTGGGCACACACGACTGTCAGGGGGATGATCAGGCTGAGCTGTGTGGCACGTGGCCCAGGAGGAGGGGTGGCAGAGGCAGCTGCCGGGGTGGTACCCAGGTCGCTCAGGCAATGGAGCCCTGTGTCTTGTCATGTGCAGGGAGGCCTCACATTGCCCCAACCAGACACTTGAGTACATCTGCAGGAAAGTCCTTGTGTTCCTGGTTCAGTGATTCAGACCCACCTTCCTTTGGAGAAAGGCACTGTAGACAGGGAGGGGTTTTTTCCCACTGCCCTGAAGTGCCTGGAGGAGACAGGACAAGAGGGGAAGGGGATTTCCAGCAAACGGCCCGCAGGAAACCGATCTTCCCCAAGGACAGGACTCAAGGCCACTCACAGGCAGGATGCTGCCCACCATCAGTTGCCATCAGAGGGTGCGTGGACAGGCCTACTGGCACCTCCACCGGGACAGAACCCCCGAACTCTTGCCAGCCACTGGATGGGCCCCTGGGGAAACACTGGGCCACTTCCAGCTGGAGGGAGGGCACTCATGCTCTGGGTGAGGCCTCCGCCTTATAGATGAAGAGCCGGAGACTGGGAGAGGTGAAGAGGCTGGCTCAAGGCCACCAAACATGCCGCCGGCCATCCTGGGTTTGAGCCTGAGCTGGGAAGGGCGTGGGGGAAGCTGCCCCTGAGGCCCCCAGCTGGACACAGTGCCTACGTGACCCCCTCCAGCCTAAGCACCGACGAGGCAGGCCAGTTCCTGCCCTACTTTGTGGACAAGGAAACCCAAGCACAGAGAGGTGACCTGGTCACGGCCACACAGCCATCAAGTGGCAGAGTGTGAGTCCCTGCTCTGTGTCCACACTGTGCAAAGGGCCTTCAGCCAGGCACCACCTCGGGGTCTCACTCACCAGGTCTGGGGCAGCACAGTTTTGGGTCGTGAACAAGTGTTCCAAACGATGCTGACACCAACCTATGCCTGAGAACCGCTGCCTCAACCCCTTCTTCCTGTGAAGAGCCCAGGGACACTTGGCCCAGCAGCCTCTCCCCTCGGTACCGGTCTCCCCACAGCTGCCGGCCCTGGTGCTGCCGCCCTGAGACCCACCTCCACCTTCACCAAGATTCTCTTCCAGGAAGATCCTTTTTCTACACTAAAGTCATCATGACACATGAGTGCCCATGTGCCTGCGAGGCACGGTGCTGTGGGGACGGGCAAGGCTGCAGCTGGCCCTGACACAGCACCAGGTACCAAGCAGGCTGCGGTGCAGGGCAGGATCCCACCTCAACTCAGGGACCCTCGCTCCTTTGAGGCCTTGGGCCTCGTGGGCCAACCTCAGAGAACTGATCAGGGTGAACCTGGGCCAGGAGGGGAAGGGAGCCCCGCTGGGGCAAGTGGAAGACTGAAAATCCAGGGCAGCCGGCCCTCTGCAGCAGCCTCCACCTTCCGGTGGCGTCGCTTCAACCTCTGGCATGTGACGCAGGGGAGGCAGGTGGTGCCCCATTCTCTTCGGACTTAATTTAGGTTTTACCTCAAGGCCCAGATGGTCCGGCTGTTTCTGGGCCGGGTTTAAGCTGGAACATCAGTTGTTGTTAAAAACCTGTTTCCAGGGAGTCCCAGAGCTCACGCTGGTGCATGTCTGTGTTCTGGAAGGAGCCCGCCCCAGCACGAACTTCACGGAAGCCTGGGCCCTTCCCACCTCCCTCAGCCCAGCGGCACATCAAAGCCGCAGCACAGAGGTTCCCTGTGCCCGTGGGAGGTAGGGCTACTAGCGGCGCCTTTCCACAGAGACAGCACCTCAGGCTCAGATGGAGAACCACCTGACCGACAGGTGAGGAGTGAAGAGCATGGGCCGAGCTCACCGCACCTGGTGGGGGGCGGGGGTATTCTCTGGATGGAACCCACTGCCCCTGAGTTTTCCCAGCCCCAGGCAGGAACTGCCCCACCTCTCTTTTCAGAATTGGGGATTCCTGGCCAGGGTGGGGGCAGGGAGGGGCTGCCCACCCCTCCAAGCAGTTGTGACAAGCTGAGGGGTCAGACCGCAGAGAACCTTCCCCTTCGCCTGCCACAGCCTCTGTGCCGCAGCACCATGAAGCAGCAGCCACATTCTGGGAACTCTTTCTCTTTTATTGCCAAGTAACAATTTACAAGGAAGTTCCAGTTTTTGTTTCCACCCTGGTGTACAGTACCCATGAAGCATGAGTCACACTGGTAAGCAGTTCTTCCCTGGAACGGTCCCTCAACCCCAAAGCATGAGGTTTCCTAGTGCTGCTCCTCCTTGAGACAAGATTTACATATTTTCAGCTCAGAGGAACATTAGGAACAGGAACGCTTATAGTTTATGCCCAGTGTTGACATGACTACACGAAATATTTCTTATTGCATCTAGAAAAGAAGATGAGACTCAGTTCACCCCATGCCTTTTTTTTTCTTTTTTCTTTTTTTAAACAGTGCATCTTGAGACCTTGGAGAAATCTCGTGTATGTCTGTGAAGGGGTGAGTTTCTTCACTCGCCCCAGTCACTTGTTAATGCCAGTGTTTAGGCGGGAAGCTGCCTTCTGCAGAGAGCACAGAGCAGCACAGGCTTGACGGAGGGGAAGGGGAGTGAGGGAGGCCTGCTGGCGGTGAGGGGACCCTCCCCGGCACCCTTCCCTGGGATGGCGGCATCTGCCCCACCTCCTCCCGGTGGCTTTGGGGCTGCTGCCCCTGCTCCTCCCTGAGGAGCTCCTTGGGCTGACTCCATCTGACCTTTGGGAAGACGCATCCTTACTCAAACCAGGAAGGACATTCTCTTCTCCACAGCAGCTTTCAAAGCTGAAGTTTGGGGGTTCATGTATCAACCCTGGCCCCTGTCTTGGCAAGCCCAAGGGACCCAGTGTGGACTCAGGGAGGGTGAGACCAACCCCAGCCCCTCCTCCTCTAGGGACGTGGAGGTGGGGGGCTGGATGGGTTGGCTGAGGCTGACCGCAGAGATCTGGGTCTAAGGACCCACGGGTCATAGGGTACCACTCCACTTCCTGGGACATGCTGTCCCCCCTGCCCAAGACCTTCTCCCTCAGTGCTCTGAGGCCACGGAACCACCTGGAACCACTGGATTTCAGACAGTGTGTGGTGGGCCCCGGGGAGGGCCTGGGTCCACCTGCGTGGGCTTGTTCTTCACAGTAATGCCACTGGCCTGGGAAGTCACTTGTCTTTTCATTCCTGCTGTCCTGGAATCATCTGAAAACCAGACCAAGGACTGGCGGGCACAGCGGCCTGGAGGGCTTCTGATGACTGGAGCCCTGTCCCCTGGGCACTGCTCCCCCTCCTCCGCAGGAAATGTGTTTTTGCTTCAGGAGGCCTAAACCTGGCCTGGCAGGCCCTGCGGTGACAGCTGGGTTGAGGGAGACGGTGAGGGTGGTGTCCTCTGGTAGGTGGATGATGAGTACTCGGAGCGTCTTCCAGGGACACCCAGTAACTGGGCCCGGCCGATACTGACGCTGTGTATGCTGTGTCCTGGGGGACACACGGAGGAAAGTTGTGGAAGGTCTTAGCAGGGACCAGAAGGACGGGAGGGTCGCTTGGCTGCGCCAAGTAGAAAGGAACACTTTGGCTGCTTTACTGGACATGGTGGAGAACTGGCCCCTGCACACCCAGCCCAGAGGGAGAAGAAATTGGGCCGGGGGTTCATTTTAAAAACAAGCTGTGTCCTTGTGGCAGCAGCAGAGAGGAGGGGCGCAGGGCTGAGTGGCAGGCGACACAGAGGATGGCCGCCGCGGCCTTTGCTCCCATCGCAGCCACTGGGGTTGGGGCCTTCATAGTCCCAAACGACTCTCGCAGACCAACGGAGATGGCAGCAACCACAGGTGACACTGAGAAATAGTCCCGTTTGCTTCCAGTCAAGAGAGACGAGGAACGGGCCCTGAGCCAGGGGCTGACTGCATGACCCGCTTTCACAAAAAGATCTTTCAGGTAACGAATGCAAGGCCCCTCGGCTGGCACAGCAGAGAAACGTCCAGCTCTCCCCTCTGTGTGCACCTGAGAATGCATGTATCTTCCTTGTTTTGTCTAAAAAATACTCTAAACTTTCCAGGAAGGTACTTCATCATCCCACAGGCCTGCAGAGTTAGTGAGCAATAAAGAAGAATCGTTTACGAAAACAGAGAACGCCAGACTGAGAACTCTAAACCAAAACACTGGGAAGTTCAAGGGAAAATGAAAATGAAATCTTAACAGTAATCTTACACTTTTTACATGACATCAAACCTTAGCACTGAGGGTTTTTTTGGACTTTGTCTTTTAAAAAATAGATGCTTTTTAAATAAATGCTTTTCAGTTGCTGCCAAAAGCGGAAATAAATACCCAAAGGAGATGTTTATCAAAGTTTGCTTTTCTACAAACTTCTACCTAAAGTGACCTTGTCCACGTCTTCTGTCCACATTGGGGATGGTACAGAGGAGCTGTGAGCCTGGGGAGGGCTGGCTGATGAAGGAACTTGTGCCGACGGGTCCTGCCCCCCGGGGGCTGCGGGGCTCAGAGATCAGGAACCCAGCCTCTCTCCTGAGGGGCCGCCTCAGCCCTCTGGGTGTGCTGGGGTGTCTCCACCAGGCCCAGCTGCTCTCAAAGAAGTGCAAGGTGAAAGAGGAATTCAAATGGTGTCAAGGAGCACAAGGGAGGGTGGTGAAGGCGGTCACTGCAGATGCTCCCAGTGTGTCTTTGGAGTCAGTGGCACTGGGTCCCTACCAGCGGGGCCACATGCACAAAGGGAGGCTGCTTAGCCCCCATTTAGTGCTCAATGGGGCCTGCTGGCTCCGGGTACGCAACCTCCTCGCCTGGGGTCACTGTGCCCTCCGTGGCTAGTGCGGGTGTGGGGGGGACGCCTGCCAGGGTACGGAGGCTGTGGGGGTCAACAGGTGGGACGAGGGTCAGCGACTCTACGCTCAGCGTGTCGGCAGTGTCCTCACAGAGCAGGGAGATGGTGGGCTGCTGGGCTGGGGTGAGGCTGGGGGACAGGCTGACTGTCTCCATGTCCACACTCCTTGCCAGGCTCTTGCTGGGCCTGGCGTCTGCTTCCATTTCATTGACGATCACCAACTGGTCGGGAAGGTTAGGCTGAGGCTGTTCCAGGGTCATGGGGTCATCTGGGTGGAGGGAAAAGCAAAGGGACACTTAGCTCTGAGACATTCTGCTCCCGCTGGCACCCTCTGCTCCCATCCTGCACAAAGGCCCAGGGACATCTGGGTGGGACAGAGTAGTGTGGAGGGAACAGCCGGCTCCATCCACTTACTCCTTCTAGGGACACAGAAGCTGCTAAATCCAGTCTGACCGAGGCCTGGGGGGAAAATCTGTCAGGGTCCAGGATTACCCTCACTTGTGATGCACGGAAAAAATGAGGGGCTTGTGTAAAAAAATCAAACATTGGCGGCCCCGTTCCTGGGTGCCAGGGAATGGCCCGGGAGGGCTGTAGGTCTGCATGAGCCCTGGACCACCTGCCTGATGATAAATCCATGTTTAGAGAGGAAATAGGCTTGGGTGTGCTTATCACTTCACGCCATTTCCAGCATCTAATTTGGTGACATTTATCCAAGAGGGAAGTCACTGCAATATTTTTAAAAAAAGAAAAAAAAAAAAAAAAAGGAAAAGAAAATTCCATAGGCCTTTTTAACTTGCAAAACCAAGCCCGAATCTCAGACTGGTTTGTGTCCTGTTCCTTCTCGAAGTGCTGAGTTGGCACTCAAAAAGGGGCTGCAATCACCTGGGGCCACTTTTGTCCCCCATGGAGAGAAACCAAGCCAGGAGGAAGCATGGGGGTGCTCCGCCTGATACATATTCTCAGAGTGGCAATTTCTTTTTTGGGTGCTTTTCAAAAACCTTGATTAGATTACAGCCAAAAAGCCTAACTTGCTTTCCAATGACGAATTTGCCTGGACAGAAACACCAGTTGTGACTGGAGTGCATTGTGGAAAACATCTAGGATGTCACATGCCTGTAATTTGAAAACATTGACAAGAAGGCCATGGGCATCTCACTTGGAAAGCAAATTCACTCTGGGCCCTGGGAATGGGGGTAGGCATTCTTTTGTCCAACGTGATTCCGGTTAGTTTTTTTTTTTTTTCTTCTAAGTTTGCCAAAACAAAACAGAACTGCAAACTGAACACAAGCAAAAGAATTAAAAAAGCAAGAGCAAAATAAAACCAAAGGGCACACAGAATGGGATATAAGAAAGGACAAGGATCCCCATCGTGGGGAGAAAGTGCAAGCAACAGTCTGAGTCTCTGAAAGTACACATTGGCATTTCTTCCCCCAAGACTCTTGGGCAAGATGAGCACTACAAGGTCTCAGTTAATGTCTTTATAGGGCCTTTTTTTATTTTTATTTTTATTTTTTTTAAGTGAAATAAGGCCAGAGGAAACCACTGTGTGGGACTTCGGGCCTGTCCTCACTCCCGGGGGGTGGAAGCAGGGCACCGTGGGCCTAGCGGAAAAAGTGATTCGAGCAGGGTGTGATCTGAGCCAGAATGCTGAACACGCCACACGCATTCTGGTTTCTCTGAATTTCTATGACTTTGCTCCATTCAGTAAGAACGCCTGTGGTGATAGGCTGGTTTCAATGCCCAGGCTCGGGTTCTGACCCAGCACAGCCTGCCCGTCGTTCATCAGGATGCATGGCTCTCTGAGGGGGGCTCACCTGCTCTGGTGGTCTCCGCCTGGCTTCAGAGGAGCGTGAGCACGCCTGTGAACTTTTTACATATGGAGACACATGTAAGCTGAGCTGCTGACAGGGCAGTTTAGAAATGACTAGTTCTCCAAATGGCACTTTTGTGCCATCTGGGGACAGAGCTGCAAAGCATTTCCTTCACGTTTTTCTCAAAACTTCTGTGTAAGATTTCCCTCTTTGCTCGTCTGCATTGGCATGCAGATATTCAAAAGAGCTGGCAAACTTCTTTCCCTGATCCCTAATGGGGTTTTTGCTGGTGAGAATAATCAAGGATATGGGAAAGTTGCCATCAGATATATTAAAAAACAAACCAACCAACAAACAAGAACATATACACAAAATTGGTTTCTTTTTTAGGAAAAGAACAATTTTATTAAAAGGGATGGATTTTTTCCCCCTATAAAAATAGCCTCTACTTTTTTTTAATAAGAAAAAAATAACCTCCCCATACCCATCACCCACAATACTGCCTTACTTTTATTTATTTTTACTTTATTATTTTTTGAAACTAAGAACTGCTTCCTGAATGTGATCTTCACATTTATCCATTGGGGGAGGGGGGACTTTGCCAGGTTTTTACCAGGGGAAAATTACCCAGTGAGGACACATTTTCTGGCCAACTGCTGAGCTGCAAAGGTTACTGCAGCTGGTGTTTTTGAGGTCTAAGGCCACAAGTTGGGGCCTGCTCCAGGAAATGAGGGCTTTGGAGAACATTCTGGCTTCCCCACCAGAGGCAGGGGAGATAACTGGAGCCAGAGTGGGAAATCCCGGAAGTCCAGGTCTCTGTGAGTGACATCTGACCTCCCCGTGGCTCTGCCCCAAGCAGACCAGCGCATCCCTGGCCGGCACCCTCAGCTGCTGACCTTTGGCTTTGGAGCAGGGGCTCGGCTGACCCTTGTCAAGTGAGTTCAGTTTCCAGTAAATACTTGGACTTGATGTGTTCAGCCTGTAATAGGTAGGCCGGAGTGATGTGGGGAAGAAATGAACAGCACAGCACAGCATGTCAGAGGGCAAAGCTCAGAGGAAACAGCTTTTAAATGCAAAAGAAGGCAGGAGGCTCCTGACTGGCAGGCACCGCTGCTGCTGAGTGGGAGGGCACATGTGGGAAAGTCTCAAGAAGCACCGAGGGAGAAGGCAGCCAGCGGCGATGGGCCCAGCAGGTCGCTGTGGCCCCCAGACCAACATCGCGGCTATTTGGAGCACCAAATGGAAGAAGGGGGGTGATGGAGTTACCTCCATTGGTGTGGCTGTAACTCTCGGCCTTTGGCTGGAATGTGAGTGATTCTATCAGTTAGCTTTGAGCAATACCAGGGAAAAAAGGTAAAAGAAAAAAAATAAAGAGCTGACTTCTTTATTGCTTTTTGTAAATTCTACCACCCAACCCTGTGGCCTAAACTGGGGTTGTGCTGCGGGGGCTGGGCTAGAAAACCTGCCTCTAGATCAGGGCCTGTGCCGCGCCTGACGCTGGCCCACTCAGTATTCCACCGAGAACGACAGCATTTCCAGGCTGCCCGGGGCTGGCCTGGCAACGGTCAAGAGCCAGGGGATTTGATCCTCGGATGAGATGAGGCTACAAAGGGATTGGGAGGTCCAGTGTCAGGGGAAGTTGAGGAAATGCCCACGTTGAGAATGGCTCTCAGGTCACGACCTGGTGTCCTTGGGGGGCCCAGGCTGGCCTGGCTGGCCACGCAGAGCCTGCTGACTGCCCAAGTGCAGCATGGTGCGGGGGCTGTGTGGGCCCGTGGAGGCTACGGGAGGAGACCTGCCTGAATTGACTGTGCCAGAGTTGCCGTGACAGCTGCCGTTCGAAGCACTAAACCCAGTGGCCGCCGTGACTGTCGGCCTCCGACAGGCTGAACACTCGCCGGCGTCCTTTCCTGCTACTCCTGACTAGAGGGAAACACAGCGACAGATCATAGAAAGCCTTTAACAACAGGACAGAGAAAGGTGACACAGGGAAGGGGCACGGAGCAGAGACGAACACTAAGCATCGATGAGAGTGTGAGGGGAGCAGGGGCAGTGCCCCAGCAGGAGCTGTGACAGCTGGGGCGTGGGGCACAGCCCCCCATGCAGGTCAGACAGCCCCCACTCTGCCCCTCCGGGGCGAGGTGGAATCGGGACAGCTAGGGGTCGGTAGGGACAGTGAAGGTTTGGTCCTGCTGGAAGGGAGAGAGTAGGGTCATTGGTGACATCTGGTCTCAGTGAGAAACCTCAGGGGACAGGAAAACAAAATTGTCCATCAGTTTTCGATGCAAACCAGCAGTTAAGATGTAAACCCTGCATCCCCTGGAGAGTCTGAGGAGGGAAGGCTGTGTGGTTGTGGGACTGGAGCCAAACCCGCTGGTGAAATAAGCAGAATTCTGACCCAAATGATGAGGCCGACGGTTCTCGGTGTCACCACCCTAAAGCCAATAGTGCAGCTCTGCGAGTTCTGGGAAAGCCTTGGATGGGTGAGGTGCTCCAAGATATCCTCCCCAGCCATGAGGTGACAATCTCCAGGCGACGCTGTGGTGAACTGAACCTTTGAAAACCAAGACTGAACCATGGCAGGAAGATCTGAGATCTGGTGCCAAGCAGCCAGGGGGTGGGTTCTAACTGGCTGAAATAAAAATGTTAGGAGCATCTCATTGGGCAGGAAGGAACCATCATCTCTGAGACAAACTCAGAATTACAGCAAAGCTTTAAAATTAAGGCCACAGAACACAAGGTGAAGGTGACTAATGCCACTGAAGTATAAGCTTAAAAATGGTTAATATGGTACATGTTATGTTTTCTGTATCTTATTGCAATTTTTTAAAAATGTCATGGAGAAAACTGGGGAGAAAAGACATCTCTTACTTGGGTTTCTGTCCTTTAAAGCCCTGCCTGACTGTGGTGATTGAGTTCAGGGACACGCAGGTCAGTTCTGGGCCGTCTGGCTCTAAGCTGGCCCAAATGGGATCGTGTCATGTGGTGAAGGTCGAATCTTCAGACAATCACCTCAGGGAGCAGGGGAGGACCAGTAGGGAGGGCCAGCAGGGCAGTACTTTGCCCCTGGCAGGTGCCAGGCAGGAACCAAATCTTCCTTCTTTCTGTAAACTTTGGGGAAGAGTCACATAATTCGATGGGCCTTAAGAATGGACATTGGAAAAAGCAGGCGGCCCTTCACTTTGACTTCATTTCTTTAACGAATGATTTTCCTTCCTCCTGAAAGTAGCCGAGAACACGTGTGAAATGCAGCAATCTCGAGACGGGAGGCAGAGGTGGCTGGCTGGCTAAGGACTCAGTGTTGTCACAGAGCTCTCATCTGAGATGGTTATCAGGCCAGATAATTCCTATGCAGAGCATCTGTGTGTATGTTTGCGTAACTGTGTGTAGAAGCATGTGTGAGTGTGCATTTGCATGTGTATGTACATGTGTCATCTATCATCATGTGTGTGCAAAAGCATAACTCAGAAAATATTTCTAAGGAATTCCTACTTATCCTACATTTGGTTCCAAAGTTGGGTCTATCTTCTCTTTCCCGCCATACGTTCTCTGCAATTTCAGCTTCTCAAAACCATAAAATGTTTAAGGAAAAAATATACTGATGCCCACACTAATTTTCTCACTGGGGAACAGCTGAGGCCTATCAGGACCGCTCTGCTGGGCAAGTGAACAGCAAGGGGCCGGTTCCCGAAGCTTCCCAGTGCAGTGTGCCCAGCTCTCCCCAGAAGGACTTGGAGATCTCAAAGCACTTTCTTTAAAAGACAGTGGGAACAGGTCAACTCATGTATTGGGTGTGGAAACCGACAGTAAAGTCCCCTCCACACACCTTTAACAGGTAAACATAAAGGTGAAAATAAAATCCCTCACTCCCAACTCTTTCTGGTTGTTTACTTTGGTTACCATGGAATTCAGCTTTGACCATTCCTTCAGTTGGGGCCATCTACTGGCCCTGATTTGAGCGTCAGTACTTGCTAAAAAGCCACTCACAAGCATCCGCAACCTGTCTCTGGCGTACAAAAGAGCATCCGAAGCAGGCACGCCCAGCACAGAGGCTCTCTCTGGGCCACTGGCAAACCGGTGACCCCTCTGAATGGTCCTTTCCCCTCCCTGGGAGGGGCCCTCTGCCAGTGCTGGGCCATAGGCTTCGACCCTGATGGCCATGGGGACTGTTTCTCAAAAACGGGCCACTCTGATCTGTATTTAGAAGGGCAGAATTTACAGAGACCCCAGGGAGATGGGGAAAAGGAACCAACCTGTCTCCTGCCAGATTCCAGGCTCTTTCTGGGTGAGACCGAAAGGCCACCTTCCTCATGGAGCCCTGGTGTGGTCAACCACTCATCCTTTAGCTTCCATTCCCAGCGACGCCTCCTCTGGGAGCCACTGGCCCTGCCTGCAGCTGTTCAGTGCTGTTGGAGCCCCTCTGCACATTTCCTTTGATGTAGTTTTTAACTGGATACTTCTCTGCATGGTTGTCTGATGGACCACGACCTCCCCTGCTAGCCTGTGTGTTCCATACTTTGTGACCCCGTATCCTAGTGCTTATGCATAGCAGGGGTTCAACAAAATCTGTTTGTTTAGAAAAAAATTAATACAGTGTAGGTGGGGTACCAAGACCGAGGCAGGAAAGATGAGCCACTAAGGGGCTGAGGGACTGGGTGTGAGGCCAGGCTTCTGGAGGGAACCTACTGAGGTTAGGTCTGACAGCCACAAAACCTGAGTTGTTCATACTGAAATCACCATGGGAGGCTGGGGAAATCTGCATTGGGTAGAAACCTGTCCTCTTTCAAGCTCAGGCAGGAAATTTAAGGTCCTCTGGGCTGGACAGAGAGTGGAGGTGGAAACACAACTGGGTATCAGAATGATTTCCTGTCCTATCTGGGGATGAACCCATTTGGGCTGACAGAGATATGGCTGTCTGGGGTCCACTTTGCTGCTGATTTTGGGGGACCACGAGGCTTTCCTCTCCAGGGGCTGCATAGCCCAGCCATTGCTGACTGGGGTGCACAGTTACCTGGGTCTCAGTAGATGGGCTGTGGCTTTTCATTTGGGCTCTTGAACAACTGTGCACATTGGAAGGAGAGATGTGTGCACCCCATGAGCAGTGCCCAACTGGAACCTGAACCTGGGGCCCAAGTCTCTGTGATACCCCTTAGAGGTAACTGAGACCAACTGATGGGTCCCACTGATATTCTGCTGGGCTATTTCAGAAGGTGGTACATGGGTTTTGGAGTTGCCAAGACGAGGGTTCACACCTGGGCTGCTCCCCTCACTAGCCCCCTCATCTTGGCCAAGCAGCATGACCTCTCTGGGTCCCCGTGTTTTCAACTGTACAATGTGAGGTGGGATTCAATGCAGAGGTGTCTGTGAAGCACTTCTGAGCCCAGTGCCCGCCACATGGGGGCTCAGTTTTGAGAGGAGCATCTACTGGGATGCCATGTAGCAGTGCATACTGAGAAGGCTGTGTGGTAGGTGCCAGGACACAGTGACTGCTCCAACAGTGTGAGGGGCACCTCTGGCTTCACGGATCTCCTTGTACAAGGCTAGGTTTCAAAACCATGGAGCAGACACAGGAAACTGGGCCTGTCCTGTCCCCGGTGGATGGCATCTCTTGAGCGCTTTCCCAACCAAACGCTTGGCTGAGCAAAGCATGGCTTCAAGAGCAAAGATGCCACTGGAGTTTGCTAATTCCAGCTGCAGAAGACCTGGCAGCTGCCCTCTGCATTGGAACTTCCTAGACTTGGAGGCTCTGGAAACACAGGGCTAAGAATGCTTCTGGTTCAGCACTGTGCCCTCAAAAACCACTTTGAGGACAAGTGGCCCCCTTGCTGGGCTGCGGGGAGAGGCCCTGGCCTACCCCTCTGCCCGTTGGGCCTCTAAGGAAGCTGCCTCTGGTAGATTGTGGCCAGGCCCTGTGGGTGGAGAGTCTGCTGAGCAGGCAACACAGGGCCAGTCTTTTCAAATCAGAAGCCTGAACACTGGCCACCACTCCAGGCCAACATCAAACCAGGAAACCGGCCAAAAGCCACCTGTCCCAATAAAACCTTCCTTCCTTCTTCCATCCTTGGTTTCCCATCCAGCACAGCTTGGTGAGATACCAGGTAGTTGATGAAACCATCTGGGTAGTACATGGAAACCCCATTTGCTGTCCTCTGGATGGACCTGGGAGGCTGAGGGCTGGCCTGTAAGTTTGACATCGAGAGGCAAGTGAAGGGTAGGTAGTTCTGAGACCTGCTGCCCCAGCTCATGCCTGGGTACTTGTGAAGGGCAGTTGCTTGTGCACTCTGATGCTCTTTCTTTCCACGGATCAACAGTTGGATCCTTGGTTAAGAGTGAAGCATAAACAGCCGGACAGACAGGCCCTTAGGTTTTTACTGCCAGGAGGCATAAAAAAAACGGGGACTTGCAAACTGGCCTCTGCAGGCCTGCCGAGGACGTACCCATGGGAGTGGACACCCAGGAGGGCCTGACCATCAGTTATTGACTGGCACTGCCTGGCTTCTTGAGAGCCAGGCTAACAGCCCCTACATTTTTGGGACAATGTTGTCGGCACTGTGCAGGGGTGGTGGGGTAGGGATGGAGGGGCTGAGGGAGGTCAAGAGAAAAGAACTGGTGCACCCTGAAGCCCTGGGGGCCCCGCTCAGGGGAACATCTGCATACGTGGCCTCATTTTGATAATATGGCTCTTTTCTGGTTTTAGTTTTAGGCAAAGAAGTGTACGGCTCATTTGCCTGCTTAACTGTTGGCTGTGCTTCCTTAAAAATGAAAGAAAAGCGTGCCTAGTTACATAAGAATGAGACCAAAATGTAATGTTAAGTATGCATGAATTTGGGTGCGTACAACACAGACAGAAGTGTGCACATGCAGGCAGCACACAGGTGTACACACAAGCACACAAACACACAGCCCTACACTTTGGCCCCCAGAGCCAGTATGAGACCAGGCTTCAGAGGGAGGCTGAGGGATGAACTTGGCTTCTGGAGGAAGCTCTGTCTGAATTTCCCAGCTGTGAGCCTGGGAACAGCAGCAGCAACTGCTTAGATATGCAGTCAACCTTAAATAGGGCTCAGAAAGGGCAGTCATCTCTCCCCAGCTGGGGCTGAGAGGGGAGCAGGTGACGGGCGGAAGAGGGTCTGAGTGAGGTGGCTTGAGGGTGACCAGTTGCTGCCTGGGCCCTGTGAATGTTGACAGGAGATGGAGGCAATGGATGCTTGCGGGAGGAGGGGGTGCAGGCAGGCCGAGGTGCCCTGTGCGCCACAGGCACGAAGACCGCGCTTAGCCCTTCGCTGGGGACCGCAGAAGCTAAAAACCCCAGAGAGAGGTGTGAGCACCCAAGGAGATCTCTGCCTCGGGAGCCGAGGGACAGTGGCAGGGCCCTCAATATCCCTGGCACTGAGGTAGTGCATGCCCTGGCACATCGCTTTTGTCATGACCCATTGATCCGCAGCTTAACAAGAATTTGGTCAGATGCCCCTGAAATATGATGGGCAAGGGCTCTTGATGGGACCCTGCAGGAACAGCCAAGAACACTGAGGGGCCCCAAATGGGGGTGCACAAGCAGAGTCACCAGGGCCCAGCAGACCCAGGGGGTCATGCTACTGGGGTGTGAAGCATCACACACTTTCAAGGCCTTCGCGGCCATCCCAGCTCAAGCTCTGCTCCTCAGCCTGCATTTTGGAGCCACATCGTTCAGCAAGTCTGGTGTCTTTACTCCTGGGTTTGCACACAGTACAGTGACAGCGAGGTGCTCATGTGGGAGGGCCTCGTGGTAGCTGAAAACAGGGGTTGGGGGATACCTGCCCACACATCCCATGCCAGTTTCCCTGTTCACGGGGTTTCTCTGTGACACTCGTGTAAAAACTGTCAAGTTTTTGTCAAGTAAAAACTGTCATGTAAAAGCGGGCAAGACATGACTCTAGCACATCCTGACACTCTTGAAAGGCAGCAAGCTGCACCCATGGTCACAGATGACTGGACCGCACCAAACATTTAAAGAGGAAACTGGTATGTTATGGAGGAAAAAACATTTAGCAGGGACATGATTCTTTTGCCAGGGTTCAAACAGTCATGACCGGGAGACCCCTCCTTGTGGCACCTAAGACGGTGGAGGCGATGAGGGGTAGATTTAGGCTCGGCCTGCCTACGGCCCATCCCCTCCAGCTCTGTGGTCAGGGAAGGCCTTTCAGTGGATCAGCCGCACAAGGAGTAATTCCTCCCCTGCAGGGAGCTAAACCAGCCAGTCTGTGGGCAGCATCGTGTTAGAATGAACACAGAACCCCCAAGTGGCAGTGTTCTCAAACAAGGTGGTAAGGAGGAGGTGGATATCCGCGGTCTCGGCGTTGAGGAATCACAGGTTCCTCAAAGACCCCCCGCCCTGTGTCACTCGGCCAATACCTGATGGACTCTGGGCAACAGAGGGGGTGGATGATGAGCTGGCTCCTCCTGAGTCGCAGTGGCTGGTGCTCCCGCTGCCGCTGGGGCTCCCGCTGGCAGATGGCGAAGGCGAGGACAGGGATGGTGAGCTGTGCTGGTTTATGCACTGGGCCACGGCAAAGCCTGTAAGACGAGGTGGTGGGGGATGTGACTAAGTGGGAGGAAACTGGCCAGCCTGGCAGGAGGGCTGCCCCAACTCTGTGTGGGACCCTGTAGGACAAACCCTCACCTGTGCAGGGGGCTGGGGCCTTAGTGTAAAGGCCATGCTAATCAACCCAAACCCAGCTCCTTGAAGGTCTGGGTCAGTTCCCCAGGAGGTCACCTCTCTGGCTATGGGACTGACCTGGACACATTTCGAAGATGTTTCAAAAAAAAAGGGAGCAGCCAGCCCCAGAACCTAGGGCAGGGCTGTGGGCCGTAAATCTGAGTGCCTGATGCTGGCTCAGAGACACACCAGCTCTGTTCTTGAAGGGGACACACAGCCATGGAGCTTCAGAGGCATCCTGGAGAAGTTCACGCAGGGATGTGGGACCTTTGCTAACATGCCTGAGTTCTGCCAAAGACAGACACCAGGCCCAAGCTCTGAAGTCACACCGGGTGGGAGGGGAGAGCCCTCAAGATGCTCCCTGCCAGAGAATTTCCTCTGCCCTGGTGGGTCTGGTGAATTTGGCATGGGAGGAATGACAACTCTGGTGAAAAGCTACCAATTATAATCATGTGCCTCAAAAGGACGTTTTGGTCAATGATGGTGGTCCCATAAGATTATAAGGAGCTCAGAAATTCCTGTTACCTAGCAATGTCATAGCTGTCATAGTGCAATGCATTCATTACTCATGAGTCTGTGGTGATGCTGGTGTACACAAACCTACTGTGCTGCCAGTTGTCTAAATGATGTACAGTATATAATACTCAATATTGATAATAAATGACGTTACTGGTTTATGTTTTTACTATACTTTTAATTGTTATCTTAGAGCATACTCTTTCTGCTTAAAAAAAAGTTTGCAGTAGCTGTGCTTAGCTTGTCTCTTGACTGCATCATCTTCTCTTGTGCTCAATTTAATTTCATGTTGTTTTGTATAGTAACATGCTGTACAGTTTGTAGCCTAGGAGCTATAGGCCATGCCCCAAGGCCTAGGTGTATGCATAGTAGCACATACAATCTAGGTTTGTGCAAGTGTACTCTATGTTGTTTGTCCAATGATCAAATTGCCTAAAAATACATTTCTCAGAAGAGATTCCTGTTATATGACTGTAATGACGTGTACAGAATTTCACATGGCCCTCAGAGCAACTCTCGGTTTGGAGATGAGATGACACATTTCTGGGGCCTGTGGCCTTCCCAGCCCAGGGCAGCAGACGAGCCCCATGTTTTGGAGACACTCGGTGTTGGTCAAATCCTGCTTCACCATGCAGAAGGATCGGAACATGTGCCCAGTTCCATTTCCCAAATGCTAGCTGGGGGGTGTCATCACCAACTTCTCCTCGTCCCACTGTAGTGGGGATACAATGAGAGAGTGTTCATCAAACTCCTGCACAGGGCTTGGCACGTGGTGAGAGCAATGTGTTCTTTATGATGAAGGGAGTCCCTTCTGCATGAGCCCGCCCAGTGGTCACTCTTCTGGTGGCTAGGTGCTTTCTGCAGACGATGGTGTCTGCCTTTTTTACAGTCTGCTTTTCTAAAAGGCCGTAGCTTCTGATTTCATTCACGAAATGCACGAAAGCTCCAATGGAACAAATGCCTCATCAGTGATCCCAGGAGCCTGTGCAGGCCTTGGTGGTTCCTGCTTTGGCCTCTGGGAGCTGGACAGGACTATCACACAGGTGCTCTGTGGACCCCACTTGCTTTTACTCCGTAATTTTGGAGCAACATCAAGTTGGGGAGGGGAAGGGAGGCAAATCCTCCTTCCAGCTGAGAGCCTGATCTCCCTGGCCAGTCCTAGCAAACCTCTCCTCTTCCTGTGTGCACTCGTCCCAGCCAGCCCCAAACTTAATTCACACCGCCTACACCTCACACGGTCCAGCTCCTGCTGACACTTCTTCTGGAAGGTTCTCCAGGCCCTGACCTCGTCTTTTTTCAGAACTCAGGAAGGTGGCAGAGTGTTGAGCAGGGGTCAGCAAACTATGGCCCGGTGACTAGTAAGTAAAGTTATACTGGCACAACCATAGTCCTTTGTTTACATATTGTCTGTGGCTGCCTTTGAGCTATATCACCAGCACTACATAGTTGCCATAGGAACCACATGGCCGGCAAAGCCTGAAATATTTTACTCTCTGGCCCTCAATGGAGTCTGCTAGAGGATGGAGCTGGGACTCTGGCTCCAGGAAATTCTGGGTTCCATTCCTGATCTTTTCACTTACTAGCTATGGGCCTGGCAAATCTGTACTTCCCTGAGCCTCTTTCCTTCTCCCATCAGTGGGAGGGCACAGGGCCTGGCTGGGGGTGGGGTATCGAAGGGGACCTGCTGCTCTATCTCCTCCTTAGGACTTAGTAGGACCCTATACCTGACCACCACGGATGGACTATTTTGTACTGTTTTTGAAGTTATTTTCTTCTAAGGATCGGCTCCCTAAAAATCACGCCTCTCTTTATATTCCCAGTCAGGCCCTCCTGGTTTGGGATGATGTAATGGCAGGTGGATGTGAGGCCCAGTGGGAGCGTGGTGGGTAAATTCCCTCTCTTTTAGAGGACGATACTCCCTGCTTCCACCTGTGGGTGGAGGTCAGAAGAACAGGGTTAACATGCTGGAGTTCATAGAAGAGGCACTGAATGATATTCTGTGTGCGTGTGGGGTGGGGAGTGGGCCTCAGATGAATGATGGCGAACAGAGAGACAGATCCAAACACCAGTCTGGAGGATCCCCAGGGGGAATCAGCCACAGCCCCACAGAGCCAGCTTTATGGCTGCTTACTTCTTAATCACTCAAGTGGTAAACCCCCAAGTTCACAAGCTGTTTACCTGCTTCGACAATGAATCGTCCCTCAACAAATCAAAATGTCAAGATGGCTTTTCCTGAGCAGAGCATTTAACGGAGCCATTGAAAGAGGGCCTGCGAGTGTGGGAACAGCGTGAGGGCGAAGCCCCCTGCCCTCCCAACAAGGTCTCAGCCCAACGGGATGAATGATGGCGCTGTCACCAAGGTGGTCACTGAGCCCTTCTCTTGAGACACATGTCTTCCCTCTCAAGCTTTTTAGAGCCCTGGTTTACTGCCATACAGCATTGCAGCTGGGGCCGGAGGGGAGCAGACGAGATGCTGAAGCTGCAGTCAGGCTACTAGAATTCCTTTGTTTTCAGAATGGGTTGGGGGTCAAGCCATTGGTTGGCAATAAACATTGCATATCTGTTGTATGTGCTGAGAGTTGAATAGAGAAAAACCCCCCACCCATTTGCAGGGTCTAGGTGGGCAGTGATGAATGGACCCATCTCTCCCTCACCTGCTGCTACTAAAAATCCACCTTCCCTTCTTTCCTCTCCCCTCCCCCATGGCAATGGCACTGGGAACCCAGAGTAGTCCAAGAATGTGTTGTTTTTTTCTGGGTGCCCAGATTACCCTATAATTTCCAGGGGCTCCTCCCCAACTGAGGTGTCAACCACTCTGAGTCAGTTTGACATATCAGAGAGCCGGAAGGGCACTGAAGAGAACTTAGGACAAGGGCCCGTGACGGCAGTGCCTGTCCTCCTGTACTTGCAACATCCGGGCAAAGCAGCTCCTGAAGACCTGGCTTTGGCGGAGGAGCCAAGGGGTTTCTGGGCGTGAGTTAAAGACACATGGACTGCCTAGTACTTGCACAAACACAGACAAGCCAGAGGTCATGGGACAAGGGCACAGGCAAAGAGGCCTCCCAAGAGCTTCTCCAGCAAATAAAATTCTTGGCTCTCCCAGAGTATGTCTCAAGAACAGCCTGAGAAATGTCTATCAAAGGCTGTAAGATTTTCAAACTATCTGAATGATTCCACATTTAGAAATTTGTGCTGCAGAAGGGATCCACATAGTGAACTATGTGCATGTTCAGAGCACTTGTGTGTGTGAGAGGGAAGTGGAGACAACCAGAATATCCAACCATCAGGGAAAGGCCAAATAAATTCTAACATGTCTAGATGATGAAATCCTCTGCTGCTGATAAAAATGCTGCTATGCAAGAAGATAGAGTGTGAAGAGAAATGCTCAAGACATAGTAAATGTAAAAAGGTTAGTAAAGGCATGCCCCATATGCCCCCATTGTTCTAAAAAAATTAAAATAAAATGCAGGCGCTGCCTCCTTCCTGTACAGAGCAGAACAGATAGACTGAAGGGACCAGAGCTGAAGTTGTAGAAGAACCCAGTGGTTTTTATTAAGGTGAATTTTATTTTTTCTGCTTGCCTGAATTTTTCAAGATTCCCACTAAAAATGTTATTTTAAACCATGAAAATAAGGGGGGATGAAGGAGGGGACACAAGCTGCCTGGGAGCTGAACAGGCTCAAGCTCCTAGGTCACTAATACGCCCCTGGGATCTGTTCTGGCTTCCAAAGCTCTCTCTCCAGACTCACTAAGAACCTCCCCAAAGCCAGGGCCAGTTGCGATCCTCCAGAAACAGGTGGACCTGCGCCAATGGCAATACACAGCCCCCGCTTTCCAGGAGTCCGGGTTTCCTAGGGGTAGGCCAGCTCTTCTTGCTGCTCTTTGGCCCTGTTCCGCCAGTTATTCTGGGAAGGTGAACTCATGAGTAAGTCTCTCGCATTTATCAAGAACAAAAAATACAACAAAAAACGTCAGCCTTCTATTGGAGGCCCACTGATAGAGGAAGCACTGGGCTGGGAGTTAGAACCCCATGTTCGAGTCCTAACTCTGCCAAATGGCTTTGTGATCTTGGACAAACACATGCTCCTCTATTAGTGAGGATCTCTTGGCTAAATAGTCAATAGTTTTCTTTTTACCTCTTAATCTGAATCTGACTTGAACTCTGTGAGAAGACACCGAAAAATGCACTTTGAATATACTATTCATACACCCCTTCTCGTTGGATAGCACACCCACTAAAGTTTTCCCCACAGAGAGCCAAGAGGTTCTATGATTCTGGACCCAGATCTGGCCAACAGCAGCCCAGGGGCTTGCAGATGTGATATGCTCGGCTCACATCATG